AGTTAATATAATTTGTTTTTGTTGTAATATTAAATAAATTGAATAGTTATATCATTTTATTTTTAATTTTTGTAAAAATATTTAGAGATCAATGATCTGGAAAAACTCTATTTGAGAGCATTGAAGGAGGAGCATTTTGAGAACATTTGCATTTACTAAATATACTACTTAATGCTCTGTCAACCAATCAAGTTTTAATGATAAAAGGCATAATGCTCTTTAAAATAATATGCCAATCAAGCCCCAATTGTGGGGCTTTCAAAGCCCATGTCTAACTCTCCTATTAGTATGATATTGTCCGCTTTGGGCCTAGAGACAAAATCCGCACGAATTTGTTCTTGGGTTCTTTCTGATGAGGTCATCAGACTAGTAGCTGAACCGAAGCTCAATCAAATCGAAGGTATAAGGCCTTTTGAACCCGACCAGGAGATATGCCTCTTCCAAGGAGCGTACATAACAAACCAAGAGGAGTTAAGCTACAAACCAAATTGGTCCAGAAACCTGAGTCAATAGAGACATAAGTCATAGTAGAATCGGGTCCATATCATTCCTGACCTCACCGGAATCAAATTTACAAAACAGACGATTTCAGACTATCTTGCTATTGAAGCTGACGCATACCTAAGGCTATTGTGTTATTCATTCCGACTCAACCGCAACGATTCAGACCATGCAACCACTTGGAATGGATTCTCAGCTGAACTAGTGAACGCTTCCAAGTGGAATCAATCAAATATCAGCTCGTATGAACGAGATATTCAGTTTGCAAATCAAGTATTTTTGGACTTACCCGATTCGGACATATGCGTGTTCAAAGAAGGATTCCGACCAAACCAAGAAGAATTAAACCATGAACCGAACTGCTCCAGATTCTTGAGCCATCAGAGACATGAGGAGAACTGGTTTGAGGCCAATACCGATTAAGAAATTAAAGTTACTGATTTTCTAAACCAGCCATTCCTCAGCTTGCCTTATTTGGAACCTTCTGGGTCAAGGAGACTTCAAACGTATCTTTGGAGACCATGAGACCTTCTACATCAACTAGAGATTCTACAAGACGTCACAATTTAAACCAAACTGCACAGGATCAGTTGGAGCACTTAAAGACTCACTTGCCTTTATTTGGACCTGAGTGCACTCAATGCGTTCACATTGCAACAGCTCTATTCCTTGAAGCTTGGGCACATATTAAAGACTTCTCAGAGCATCCAGAATGTACCTAGACACCTTACATTCGCCCCTAAGCTCTCAAGATACAAGGAGCCTCCAACTAACCTTATTTGGCCAATTGTGCAATCAATTCTCCAACGGCTAGTTTTTTTACACTACAAGAATAGGTGAAAATAGCCACAAATTTTGCTACAACAACAATTTGTAGCAAATTTTAGCTACGATTAGATACAAATTTGTGACAAAATTATGAAATCATTAATTTGTAGCAAATTTGTCACTTTNAGTAGCTAATTTGTGACAAAATAGCTACTAACTCAAAATTGTAGCAATTTTTTTTCAACTAGTTACAAAATACTTGTGACAAATATTGTTACAATTTTTTTTGAAGCATTTCGTGACAGAAGCTAAAATTGCTTCAATAATAGTTACAAATAAAATAGTCACAACAATTACAATTAGCTACAGACTATGTGCATGATTGGTTGGGCTTTAAGCCTTGTCTAGAGCCTTAATTTTTCTTAAAGCATCATTATGTTACCAATCATGTTGTAGCTTTAATTCTTTAAGTTTTAAACCTACATCCTTTGTTACCAATCATGTTTTTGCTTTAATTCTATAAGCTACAGCCTCTTTAATTGTTTTTTAAATTTCTTTTGTTGTAACATGTAAAATCTTACAGCCCCATTTTGATGGCTGTACACTCTTATTTTTTATAAAAAAATTATTTTTAAAAAATGGAAAAATCAAGATAAGCACATCGATTTACCTAATTGAAAAAAGTCTAACCTATATATATATATGTGTGTGTATATTGCCGTCACAAAGGTTTGAAGAA